AAAAAAAAGGATATTGAATTATATTGCTGACAGGGCTTAATGTATGGATTAAAATGAAAAACATTATATAATAATAAAGGTTTCTTTTTACCTCATTTTTGTTGGACGCGATTCACATTTACTTTTAAAGTTTTTCTTGTTTATTTTCGTGGGCGACATGAATCTAGCCCGATACATTTGTTTTCTGTGTCTTCCCTTGGTCAATGTCAGTTCAAAAATCATGCTCAACATTTTCATTCTGTTTAAATGTCGGAAAAATTGTTCTTCCAGGGCCACCGCAGCCGCCAGAAATACTATCTGTTCAAGCAACCCAGCCCAATACCTTGGAAATGAACTGGACAGCGGGTTTTAACGGCGGGATAGAACAAAGCTTCAGGGTTGACGTGAAACCTTATGGTTCACCTGATAGTGCTTACGTCACTGTGCTGACGGCACCTGATCCTGGACAGCTCGCAAATGTGACGTCTCAGCTCCACAACCTCTCTGATGACGTGTTTTATACAATAAGGTTGACAGCATCAAATGTTCGACCATATGGGGTGAACGAGGCATCAGTTGTGTACTCTTTGGTAAAGAAAGGTAATGCATCTTACATCATGTTTATTCCAGTTGAAAGATTACCATTCATAATATCTGTTGGAAATGGAATACATTCTAACTTATTTTGCTTTTGAAAGTTTATTGAGGTACATGTAATTGTCCTTGTGTGTCTCTCTGTGTTGCAATCTGCCTAACGTTTTGTTTGTCTAGAATGTTTGACAGCTCATTTCAGAAGCTGAGACTCGAACGTTTTTCTGTTTTGTTCTATTCATGTCAGTTTTGTGTAATCACGTTTCATTCCATTCAATTTCACTAGCAAATATATGCGCTTTCTAGCAAAGCTATGCGCTCTCGAAATATTGTTTTGATAAATGCCCTGACTAAAATCAAGACAAGACAAACAATCTGTCCCGTTTTAGAGTCAACCCTAGGTCACTGCGGCAATCGAACCCTCTTTACACACTACATGTATGGATACAATATTGGCATCCATTAATGTTTTTCCTATAAATGGATGTCAGCATTACTTATTGTTTCAAAATGGCGACTGTTGAGTGAAAGGGTTTTATAAACAAAGATTAATTGATCGACTTAAAATAATCACACATTATCAAGATTACTTGCAAGTTTGGGTTTGCGCTGTAATGCATTCTACAAGCATTTGCTTTTTATGTGATGTTTGTTGGAGGTTATCAATATTGACATTTACACACCTGCCAACATTAAATCTATCTCCTGGGCGGATACCGAAGGTAGTGTTTTGCTTAATTTCCGCCTATTAAGACGCTTTTGTACAATCTAGCGTTTAGATGAATGTATGAGAAGCGTACGTGAAATCGATTGTACCAGGGATTTATATCTAAACGATGTATTTCCCTGAAAGTACGCACATGTGCATACGAAATCAGCATTTCTTTCTAGGGTAGAAATGCTCAATCTTTTATCTTCGCACGTTCGCAAACTAAAAACATATCCGGCATAACACCCAAAGTCAGCAATAAGGACTATATGCCCAAAAAGAAATTATGGACTTCTTAGTATAGCATTTGTGTGATTATGCATACCGTATGTATACCGTTCGTTTATGAGCGTACCATCTACCTCTACCTCCGTCCTCTCTATCTGGAACAGTTGTTATGAAGATCATACCCTAGCCATTACACATACAGCTACCACTGCATTCGTACACTAGCGGACAAAACGCATATGATATGTTTTACGTTAATCATGCGTTAATACGTACCTGTACATCTTATGCTTACCCTGTAAATACGCAAGTTAACATATACACCAGGTATACGTGACCAGATCGTTAGAGATATGCTCAATGCGTCACACATTCGATAATATAACGTTATTCTTACGTTACATATACCCATCACCGTATTGGCAACATATTGTACTGGTACCGTGACGTCAGCGTCCATCTGGTGTTTTCGTTGTGCCTAGCCTTTCTCTAGCGTTTTGGTAACGTTTAATACATACGCTCGCGTACACAGAAACGTGCTCGTATTTCATCCCCCTCTGCATATTTGAACGTACACCAGCAGTCGTCTGCTCGCCAGAAACGTAAAGACATAAGCTTATCTTACCATTTGCGTTTGTCTGCGTGCGAGCAAATTTTCCTTATACGGCAGTGCTACATGCGCACGCTAGAGTGCGACAGCACCAAATGACATTATTCATGTGTGAAGGGATAGTTATCATGATGTAATATTTCTTAATGCCTGCATACAAGGTTTCGCCGGTGTACTGAACTTAAATATGCTTTTATTTGAAGATTGCGATACCCTAAAGAACAACGGACACCCAAGTGGTATATATACTATTGATTTTGACGGTGTGGGACCTCTTGATCCTTTTGAAGTGGAGTGTGACATGGCCTTCGACCCTCCCCTGACCATTGTCCACCATGATATAGAGGGACGAAGTGGTCAACTTGGACCAGATCATCCGGGGTACCTTTACCGAAATCTGACCTATTCACCTGGTACTCTAGAGCAGATAACAGGCATGGTGGATACTCTTGACCATTGTCATCAGTACAGAAAGATAGAATGTTGGAAAATGAGAAGTAAGTTAGCCTGATTTACTGAACGGCGCTGACATGTCGCTTCTGTGTGCCAATATTGAGCCTAGACAATTCGTGTTAGATCTTTTTAGAAAAAAATTAATGCCCTGTAAACATTTAAGTAATTTTAACATTTTACCAAAATTCGTCAGAAGATACAGAAGATCAAAATTTGCAATACCGTTCAGAAAAAAATGAGATAGACATAAATCCGGCTTCCAACTATTTCAATAAAAATTTGACCGTCAGCATCCATTATTACACGTGACTATAGAAAACGATATTGTATAGTACACTTTGATGGGTAGAAAACAGATGGACTTGGGAAACACTGAATAGTTATAAGAACAAAGAAAACCACCAAAAGTCCAAATGGGAATATAATCTGTATGTACAATGTATCTTTACATTTTTATGTATGTACACAATGTATCTTTACAGAAATGTGTACGTATACAATGTTACAGTAACATGTATGTATACAATTTATCTTTTCAGTAATACGTATGTATAAAATGTATCTTTACAGAATTATGTATGTGAACAATGTATCTTTACAGAAATATGTATGTACAATGTATCTTTCCAGGCATGGGGACGGAGACGTCCCAGAGTGACCGTTACGGCCAATACAATTACTGGGGACATTACTTCGCGGGTGGTTCACCGAAAGCAACGTGCCTTTGTGGAAAATACTCTGCTTGTGTTTCAGCCACAAGTAAGTTCTGATAATAAGTAAAACATGTTTCCAATATAATTGAGTGTACCTGTGGTGTTTTGGGGTTATAGCACCTGTTACGTCGTTGGGACAAATTGCCTGCTGCTCCTGTTTTCTAGAGATTAATAACAGGTTTAAACAGCCTGTTTTCAAACAATACTTGCAAGACTCGGGATATATAGGGATATGCTGTGTGCTAATTATCCTATTATAAATGGCATAGATATTGTAACGTTTGTGCATTATAGATATTATCATATTTGCGCATGTAGACACAATCGTATATGTCGAAGAAGGGATTCGGATTTAACATAACCAACCTTTCGACCGTCCAAGTTACTATGTTCACAGATTGGTGATATTTTATTAAATCATCCATATTATACGTTCTGCAAACTGTTTGTGCAGGTAATTTCATTTTCCTCCGTCGATGATGTCATTTTACAGAACAGTGCATCTGTGATAAGAATGATGCTGTGTGGAGATATGACGCAGGCTACATCCAGGAAAAGGTGTTTCTTCCTATTGTGCAGACCAGGATTGCTGACATCGATGACTCTACTGAATTCGGTCATGAGACGCTGGGACCACTGGTTTGCTCGTCCTGGGTCGAAGGTAAGGTATTTGAATATGAGTCATCAATACGATTTGAATACAAGATTTACATTATCTGTTTATCCCAAAAAGATTTGCGGATTTGACTTCAATTCCGCGTTTTTCTGATGACTTTCCCAATTACAGTTAGTATTGATCATTTCTGAAAGCATCCGGCACTTAAAATGCTCAGTTTAAGTTATAAAATCGAACACGACTCTCCTCGGGTACACAAGTGCATATGAATCAATTCTGAAATAGCACAATTTATGTACATGTCTTGAACGTTCAATTTCCGTCGATAGTGCAACAACAGTGTGATACGGATTCTGTTTTCAACAGGACGTGAGCGACCTTACAGTTCATTTTTACCGGACTCGGCATTCTCGGCGTCATCGTACCATGGAAGTTGCTCCATTCTCGGGGGCTCCATGTCAAAGAGCGGTGCCTGGTGTGCGGCGACCAACGTCGTCAATGAATGGTTCCAAATAGATCTGCAAAGGAAGATGATTATAACCAGGGTGGCCACGCAGGTATGTTATGGTACCCTACACACAGGTGTATGTGGATCATTTTGTAAACCAGGGCTCCGTATCTCGAAAGGCTCGCTATGTTGCGCACGAGCGTTAGTGTCTCGATTCCATAACCGATTCTATTTCGAGATACGGGGCCATGGAATCGAGACGCACTTGCACGTGCGAACCTTTCCAGAAACCTTTCGAGAAACGGAGCCCAGATGACTTCCTCAAGCAGGGAACCCATTTGTCGGGGTTTAACTGATTCGTTGTTGTCACTTTGATCACAGAGATGAATAGAGATTCACCTCTTTGCTTTGATAATGAGTTATCCACGTATAGTAGCCCATGTACAATGGATGTATTATTAATGCTTTTCTTATTTTATGATTTCATTTTCACTTTATTTTTTGCTTTCTGTAAAGGTCAGTGTCGATGATTTTTTAACATTTGTTCATGTCACTCTCTGAAATCTTAATTGTTCAAGTAAAAGATCTAGAGTTCATCTCTATTGCACTCACGTGATTTGCCTTCCAATTGTTTCAAGTGAAGATTGCCAATTTTCGCTGTAAATTAGGTAGTAATGATCTAATAAGGGTGATATTATGAAAAGACGTCTTTTCCAAAAAGGCTGGCATAACTCGACAAGACCATTCTCAATAAGTAGTATTATTAGATAACAAACAATCGGCAAAACGGCAGTGGGCGGTACAGATGACTTTGGAGGTAATTTGGTACTGGTCTCGATCTTGAACATCGATGCTTTTCTTAATATTTCATTTTAGGCTCGAGGCGGTGGGTCGCAGTATGTGACCAAGTACGAGTTGCAGATCTCCGTGGACGGGGTCGGTTTCGAATGTTATTCTGTGACAAATGGGACATGCAAGGTAATTACCAGACGTTGTTCACGCTGCTATATCCAATGTAGATATGGTGCAGATTTAGATTGAACAGAACTCATGAGGGGGAAATCTCACCAAAATACCTTAATGTCAACTTTTCAAAAGATACGGGTATTTCCCCTAGACAGATGTGAAAACTTTATTAAAATGTAAACGAAACAGCCAGAGGTTCCTAATGTCTTCTAAATGCAGTTCTAGTCTAATCATGTAAATACATTCTTAAGCACCGTTTTCAAAATGAATTTGTAATGTAGTTTATGTGGTTACTGAAGGGTGATTACATGGAATATTACAGGTATTCAACGGGAACTGGGGGAATACAGTTCGTAGCAATTACTTGAAACCCTCAGCGGTCGGCCGCTACGTTCGCTTCAGTGTGCAGGCTTGGGGAGGCCATATCAGTGGTAAATTTGAGGTCTACGGATACGACGCAGGTACATTTGTAGTT